CAAAGCCCCCACGGCTTACTTTGCAAAGCAACATGTAAGCCCCCCCTCAAATTTGATCAAATCTCCGCCTATGGTGTCTATAATTACTCAGTGACGAGGTCCACTCGATACCTACTGTACAGGAGAGCGGTTACTACTTTTCCATTTTTCCCCCTGTTTTGACCTAAAACAGATTATACGGTATTATGATCACATAAAGTATTACCTATACAAATAATTGCAGTCTGCTGGTTAACGCACATATGCGTTTATAAAATGTATGTTAATATCAACAATAATAATTATTAATACACTAATATTGATATAAAATACTTAAACACTGCTATATATTAAACCGGATTTTGGATGGGTTGAGTATAGGTATTAGAATTGTTATGATATAGTGACATTTAAACTGCCGTGATGCAGAAAGTGCTCTAGAAAACCATTTTATGCTAATAATAATAATGCCGTATAATAATAATAACACTATGAGACGACAAAACAACAAAATTGAACCAATTTTATTTAAGCAAAAATATTACATAACACGTATACAACGGAGTCGATACAATACATTTTAATTATTATCCAATAATTATTAAAAGTTAGATAATCAGAGTTGGCATGATACCTATATCTACCAAAAAAAGGGGAGTGTGTATCAAACTGCTGTACGGACGTACAGGCTGTACAGCTATTATAAGTTTCAGGTGTACTTTTGCATGGTTGTGTTAAATTTGAACTCAATGATATGAAATCTTTATATGCTGAAAATATTCTGAGCGTTAGCCTATGTAACTAAGTATAGGTATTTTATAATATTATTGATAGTAAAGTAGATTATTTTACAATTTGTACAGCATAGGTAGTTAAATTCAATTTTGTGAAATGATTGAATTTTAAAATGGCATCGTGTGTATAAAATATAAAAATTGGATATCATATACATTTTCGACTACAAAATGTTTTTAATTTTCACGAATTTTGTCAAAAATAATTGAACTTCTAATGCTTATACCAAAATCATGTCTGTGTATTTTCAATATTTTAAATTATACCATGTAGGTATATAAAATGCTAATAGAAACATTTGTGAACATTTTAAAATTCAAATTTTTAAGTATCTAGGTATTTTTTGTTTGAATTACGTCAAAAACCTAAATCAATTTTGTCAAAAACTGGTTTTTTCTCCAACGATTTTGAAAAATATTAGACATTTTTTAGTTTTTAATTCAAGTGAATAAACTATGGTAATTAATTTTATACATTTAAAAACCAAATACCAACAAAAATTAATCTGAAGTAGATTAATCAAGTCATTTTTACTATCACGAAGGTGATGAATAAAAAAATACACATGATTGTAAAATCAAAATTATCATCCTTTCGCCAAGAATTTAAAAATATATCTTGATAAGATATTTTAATTAAGGTATCTTGTATTTAATACTATCTAGTCATTTTCATTATTTCTATTACTCAACATACAAAAAAGAATAATTAATTATGTTATTCATTGCAGTTATTGTTAACATTTTCAAATAATAATAAAAATCAACTTACAAAACTAATATATACAATGTATAATGTATATTATATACACAGGCATCTACAATCTACAAAAATATGTAAATAATAACACTTTATTCATTATCACTAGTTTGAAGTTTTCAAAAATCTGCATAACTTGCAGCGCTGCACAAAAATAACTATTAAGGAAAGATACAATTTAAACATTCATCTAGTATAGGTATAAATATCAAATGTATGTTACTATATAAACTATTTAGAAAAAAAATTTTAATTTTATAATTTTTCTATTCATTTACTCTTACTCTTTTCATCAATTTTAAATTAAAATTATTTATATAGCTACTAGCTTTATTTTACTTTCAACTTAACTTTTATTCGGTTATCAGTAATAATTATAATTTAGAATGATTTTTGATTCTGAGAGTAGGTATATAGTACTAAATTATGTTATATTTATTGCTCTTTGTGCTCAAGATTGTGTTTGATACACCCGTTTACATTTTAATTATTGTCTGATACTTAGTAATATATTTTATTACTTTTGTAGATTGACTTACAATTTTGAGTTTATAGATTTTAAATTTTAAATGTGATATATTGTTACATTATCTATAAAAAAAAAAACTATGATACCAAAACGGTAACCAATCACCATCATTAGGAAATCAAAGACAAACCAATAATGACTATTTACTACATACATTTACTAGCTAATGACTTCTTACATTATTTTTAAAACAGAGGATTTAATTTAATTTCATATCTAAGATAAGCTAATCTCTTTCCATTTTTATAATTCCATGACGAAGTTAACCTAACCTTCTTTTGTAGTATCGATCAACTGAGGTGAACTGTTTACTTACAGGCTACACTACTTAGGTACTTTTACTGACCATCGCTTTAGCATATCACAACATTTATAAATTTATAGGTACAACGTACAACAAACTTATTGATTATACAATTTACATACCTAATATTTGCAAAAAAGGAGACCTTACTCTCCTAATTTTTTACTTCGGCTACAATAAATAAAACTTAGCTAGATTTAATTTGCAGCTTGGAGAGCTCTTTCATCTCATCCTCTTCCTCCTTGGATAACACTGCTACTATGAACTTGACCACTGTATGCCACCTGGAATTTAACTGAACCATGACATCCACAATGTTGTCAGGAATTGGTTGTGGTAAGGTCACATTCTGAACATGACCTCCTCCTCCACCCACTACCGAAATGAAAAAAAAATATGTTCCACATCACCCGAATAATTTTGGCAATAGTAATTAGTAGCAACTTGCGTTGTTCCTCTTTTTAAATCAGAAGAGATATGTATTAAAACAACAGTTTCCTACAACGAACTGGGTTAGATGGTATCCAATTTATCCATGCTTCCTCTCTGCCCACAGTTGAATTTTTGGAATTTATTAACCTAAGGGTCCACTGGCCGTTAATAGTATATTATCCTATTACGTCTGCCATAACGCCTACCATCATATTGCTCTTCGATAACTTCTTGGGCACATCGCGTAGAAACCAATCGGCCTTAGCATTCTATATTTGGACTTAACCCTAAGCTAATAGGTGGATTGGAGAAATCCCTGTGACCACTAAGACGGTGGTGTCCTTCGTTAGAATCCGTGCAGTAGGCGATCGTACCCCTGGGTGCCATTTTTCTATATGGTAATGTCATCGTCTTCTTATTCCACTTGTAGAGCACAACGTAAAGAAGCTGTGAGTAAACTATTGTGGTGTAGCCCTCACTTCATAAGCGAAGGCCGAAGAACTATTATAATTGAACTTATTACAAACCTACCTAACCTAATCTAACCCACCCTAAGCTAAACTAAGTTTTTTTTTATAAATAGGCGATACTCAACCAATTTTCTCCGGAGCATACCACTGCAACTACTTCGGGGAAATAATGGTGCAGTCATCGTTTATTGCAATAACGTAAATACATAATATATATAATATATATATATATAGTTCACAATAACAAAAACAATTTACAATGAAAATTGACAACTTCATGCAACAAAAGAAATTCGGAAAACATTGGCGACGATGATAGTAGTGTCAAACTTCTCGACTGTTGCAGGCTTGAATAGCCTGGTAAATTACTACCTAGTTTCTTTAAAAAGGTGATAAGTCTTAACTTGCAAGGTTGGTGGAACAAGAATCTTGAACAGCCCGGAACGAGTCATGGGGCAGGTGGAAAAGAATAACACCCTCAGGCGCGTATTTGCGTCACGAGCGTATTCTAATTATGTGATATCCGGGGTAACGTTGCAGTTTCGTCGTTTAAACTGTATCGACATAATATTATGTATAATAATTAGATTCGAAACGTATAATGTATGGCCAATGGGTGTATTATTTACTCTATCACAGTAACCATATATTTATATTGTATATGTATATTTATATATTATAATATATATCTCGTAAGTGGTTTCAGTGTTAATGTCGTAACGATTGGTTCAAGGTCAAGATCGAGCTTGTCCGTACCTGGGTGGAGTACCGGTAAGCGCAACTCACTACCTTGCACTCAGTATAAACGGAACCATGTTAGTATAAAAGACTCGGCTCCGAATGGCAACAGCATCAAATCATCTGCAGCAGACGGTCCAGGCTAACTGTGCGATATCAAATAAATTTCTCACGTTTTTGAGCAATCTCACCAAACACCAGAAACATGAAGGTAAGCGTTTTCTGACTTTATTTTAATATTGCAGTAATATTGAGTATTAGGTCGGGTAAAGTGTACGCATAACGCGACGGTTTGTACGCAGTTGTGGTCCAACATACTAACTTAAATGTGTACATTTATTAAAAATTTGTTGGGTTTTTAAGTGATGGTGCAACGTTTTGAACGCTGTAGATTTCACATAACTATATCACATAGGCACCTCGATCTTATTTAATACCTCGACTTGCTTTCTTCCTATAATTTATGGTTGATTTTCAAAATTCATTATATTATATAATCTCGGTAAAATAATGATTAGTTAAAACTGTGAGCACATAATAGGTGTAGGATTGATACCTGCGGTTAACAATCATTTTTGACTCGAAAACATATAGGGCTATATAAGGTCTATATTTATCCTCATATGATTATCTATATTATTTCTGTCGTCGTCGTGTTAATAAATATGATTATATGTCGTTCGCAGGTTATTATGGTAACGCTGTTGTTGGCCGCTGTCGCCCTGTCCGCCGCCGAAGCCGGAGCAATCAACTACTACCACCCGGCACCGGCTTTAGTACCGGCACCCGCCTACTACACCGCCCCTGCTCCAGCTTTGGTCAGGACCCCGAGCTTGGACAGCGCCGTGGTGCACTCAGAACGCGTCGGAGGCAACTTCGCGTACAGCTCCGTCGAGGGACACGCGTACACCGCCCTCTCACCGGTCGTCCACCCTGCCCCAGTGGCCATCGCCTACAAGGCCCAGCCGCTCGTCGCCCCGTACCCCGTCGTCCACGCCGCCGCCGCATACCCAGCCGTCTACGCACCGACCAAGTCCTTCTACTACGCTCATTAACCCGCCGCACCGCCGACAATGACAACGACGACAAGGCCCACGCTCAGTGTTTGATCTAGTTTCCGTTTTTCTCCCCATAAAAACTCCGACGCGGCGGCGTACTGTGCATTATTGTGACTTTATATTATAATAATAATTAATATTTTGTGGCTATAATGTATCGGTACGCAATTTAATAATAAGGCAATAATATAATGTTATACTATTAATACGACGCGTCGGAACATCCACCTCACACATATATATATAATATATATACGAGTGACTTGACATTTACTTCCCCTCCCCCAACCACCTAATGAACGTACACGGATGCGTTTCATGTAATTGTACTTTTTTTTTCAATATTGCCGAATAAAAAATATTACTTATTTGAAAAAAAAAACATTGCTGTTCTATATTTTTTATTCACATCTTGACAGACTTGTGTACTATAAGAGGAATTTTATTGTTGAACCATAATAGTATACGACTGAAGGCTAATAAAAAAAAAAAAAACACAAATTTGATATCCTATCATATATCATTATTTATAAAATGTACTCTAATACCCTAAAAAAATTTTTAACCGCTACGCTGGGAACAACTATTTCAGTTTTTAAACCTTTTTATTATCAAATATTTCATTTTGGTAAAAGAAACCTTAACTTACAATATATGGTATTATATATTTATATTATTATTTATTACACATAATTATATTACCTATAGGTACAGTATACGGGCATACGGCTGTTCTGAATAGCGAATAAAATAATATTATAGACAATATATTACCTAATAAATATTAATATAGTTAGTGATCGTGGAGGGGGGAGTGCTTACTGGCGGCTTAGCCCCCCCCCCCCAAAGTAATTTGAAGTTAAAGCCCCCTAAAAATATTAAACAAACAATACCGTAATTTTGTACAGTTTGCACATTTTTTTCATTATTTTACATTCTTATATCCACAATTATACAAGTGTACCTAGTACATTACGGACCTACTATTTACTAATTTATTATTTACGGTAACATACCGAACAATTAAGTCACAATTCACAATAATATTATATTGTGCTTACTGTTTATATACCTACTATTGTACATATTTTGTACCAATTGGCCATCAATATTGAATAACATATAATACCGTTCTATTTATAGATGGGAAAAATATTATTTCTTTTCTTACTTTTGTTAATTCTCGAGGAGCATAGGCGCATAGCTATTGTAGGACTATCGCTATAGCTGTATTAAACCTATCGTAAAGCTTATCGTGATTGAATGAATCGTTTATTCGTACATTGTAAAGGGTATCATACATCCGTATTCGTACCGTTACCGTGACCGCATTGACCATTTTATACTAAATTATATTTTACTTATTGTTTGATGTTCTTGGGTATACGTTTCTTTTGAGATTGTGATTTATATTTTTAATAAATAATTTGGTTCAATTATGTTTGAAATATTTAAATTTAAATCTTTTATGAATTATTCTTTTTCGAGTAACCCCCTTAAAATACAAGAGATAGGCAAGACTATAATATGGTTTTCTATACAATTGTGGATTGGGTACTGATTCAGGAGTTCAATATAGGCAATATCCAGTTCCTTGTTTTTTGCACTATTCGAATGTGTATGTGTGGATATAGTAGACGGCCAAAAAAGGCCTTACAAAACTACATACTATTATAATTTTAATCATATTACCAAAAGATTTCTTTTTGTCTGCAGCCAAGTGTTTTGTGAGAGACGAGATATCGACTTGGTGGTTGGTTCGATATGACGTGCATTGCACACGTACGGAAATCCACAACTCATTGCAGGCACTCGAAAATATTTTGTAGTAATGTTACAACGAATATTGCCAGTAAATGCTTAGTAAAAATAAATGTACTTCTAGTAATCAAATTTCAATTTTTCTAAATTTTTGTTAATTATTGTCGATAGAAAATTGTTCTCTCAGTCAAAAACTTTATACATTTGATACATGGTTGCTCAAAAACTTTTATTAATGGAAATTTAAAAAAAAAAGTTAAGAGTAAATCCATAATAGTGGTGTTGTATGAAATTTTAAATCAAAAAACTTTGCAAATTATCTGATTTTCATGGATTTTATGGAAATTCTAACTTCAGACACATATAATAAAAAGATTGTGAATTTATGCTTACATTTTTTTTAATTTCCATTCACAAAAACTTATGAGGAATCTTGTATTAAATTTGAAGTTTAACTAAAAAAATGACTGGAGAGTCAAATAAATTGTTAATGAGTATTTAAAGTCAGACATTGGGTATTCCCGTAAATTAACATATTCTTAAAAAACAATTTTCTTATTTTGTTAAAGTTCAAAAACTATTACCGTCAATACTTGAAATATTCCCAAAATCTTTGTATTATTATTTTTCATACATGATACAATTTTTAGTATTTTTTAAAAGGGATGAAGTATAGTTTTAGAAAACTATTAACTATTTTTAGAGGTATAAAATGTGTTAAATATAATATTATAATAGTTTATATGAACCAATATATTATAAAAAATGTATTTTTCTTTAAGTGTTTTTTTTTTTTTTAATTTTCTTTTTTGTTCATATGATCAAGATACATATAGGACTTTAAAACCCTTAAATTAAAAAATATATCTTGAAATCTACTTTTTAGAAATTGTTTTTGGCAATGCGTAATATATATATATGTGTTAATTTCACAGTTATGTACTACATCTAGGCATACTTATAAACGTAATTACCTACTTGCCTGTATTCAAAATCAATGCACTTTAAGTGAATTTCTTCCTTTCATATTTAAATTAATTATATAATATTATGTATAATTATAATACTAATTTTATTGTTAAAACTAAAACAATATAATATACCTTCTTTAAACTATTCATAAATCATGTAAGTATACCACAATTATTTGTACTTTATTATAGGGTATTAGGATGCATTTTATCAATAATGATAGGTAATAGGATACCAAAGTTGTGTTACAGTACACAAGTCCGTCAAGATGTGAATAAAAAATATAGAACAGCAATGTTTTTTTTTTCAAATAAGTAATATTTTTTATTCGGCAATATTGAAAAAAAAAGTACAATTACATGAAACGCATCCGTGTACGTTCATTAGGTGGTTGGGGGAGGGGAAGTAAATGACAAGTCACTCGTATATATATTATATATATATGTGTGAGGTGGATGTTCCGACGCGTCGTATTAATAGTATAAAATTATATTATTGCCTTATTATTAAATTGCGTACCGATACATTATAGCCACAAAATATTAATTATTATTATAATATAAAGTCACAATAATGCACAGTACGCTGCCGCGTCGGAGTTTTTATGGGGAGAAAAACGGAAACTAGATCAAACACTGAGCGTGGGCCTTGTCGTCGCTGTCATTGTCGGAGGTGCGGCGGGTTAATGAGCGTAGTAGAAGGACTTGGCCGGAGCGTAGACGGCTGGGTATGCGGCGGCGGCGTGGACGACGGGGTACGGGGCGACGAGCGGCTGGGCCTTGTAGGCGATGGCCACTGGGGCAGGGTGGACGACCGGTGAGAGGGCGGTGTACGCGTGTCCCTCGACGGAGCTGTACGCGAAGTTGCCTCCGACGCGTTCTGAGTGCACCACGGCGCTGTCCAAGCTCGGGGTCCTGACCAAAGCTGGAGCAGGGGCGGTGTAGTAGGCGGGTGCCGGTACTAAAGCCGGTGCCGGGTGGTAGTAGTTGATTGCTCCGGCTTCGGCGGCGGACAGGGCGACAGCGGCCAACAACAGCGTTACCATAATAACCTGCGAACGACATATAATCATATTTATTAACACGACGACGACAGAAATAATATAGATAATCATATGAGGATAAATATAGACCATATATAGCCCTATATGTTTTCGAGTCAAAAATGATTGTTAACCGCAGGTATCAATCCAACACCTATTATGTGCACACAGTTTTAACTAATCATTATTTTACCGAGATTATATAATATAATGAATTTTGAAAATCAACCATAAATTATAGGAAGAAAGCAAGTCGAGGTATTAAATAAGATCGAGGTGCCTATGTGATGTAGTTATATGAAATCTACAGCGTTCAAAACGTTGCACCGTCACTTAAAAACCCAACAAATTTTTAATAAATGTACACATTTAAGTTATTAAGTTGGACCACAACTGCGTACAAACCGTCGCGTTATACGTACACTTTACCCGACCTAATACTCAATAGTACTGCAATATTGAAATAAAGTCAGAAAACGCTTACCTTCATGTTTCTGGTGTTTGGTGAGATTGCTCAAAAACGTGAGAAATTTATTTGATATCGCACAGTTAGCCTGGACCGTCTGCTGCAGATGATTTGATGCTGTTGCCATTCGGAGCCGAGTCTTTTATACTACCGCTGTCCCGGGTACCGAGTGCAGGGGAAGGGGTTGCACTCGCGGGGACTCCACCCAGGTACAAACATGCACGACCGTGACCTTGAACCAAGCGTTACGACATTAACATTGAAACGAGATCGGAGATACATATATATTTTAATACATATATATTTTAATACATATATATATATATACCTACCATGATAGAGTAAATAATACACCCATTGGCCATTTATTACATTTTTCGTATCTTATTATTATATATTATGTTGATACAGTTTAAACGACGCCACCGCAACGTAACCCCGGAACGGCGGAACACACGTAATTGGTATCCACTCGTGACGCAAATATGCGCCTGTGGGCGTTTTTCTTCTATGTTCTAATCATTAGGTGATCGGAAAAATATAAGAGTTAAAGTTTTGATTGCATTTTTACGTATTGAGGCGAACATATTAAATTGCGTTTGGATGATTTTTTTGGCCGGTAAATAATCATTAATATGCGTACTAGAGGACTAAAGTGTCTATAGGCATGAGAAAATAATATTGTTGTCATTTTAGTTTTACTCAAAACAACGAATAAGACATGTGCAGTCATAATTTTTGCAGACTTTGCTCTGTCGGACTCAAATGTATAATTGGCACAACTGTTAACTACATACCTCATAATGTATATTTATTTTAATATGTTACCTGTAGGTACTATCGTGTTTTCGTCACGCACCCTTCAAATTCACCTTTGAATATAATTGCTATAACGTCGTTGGACGATGCGACGATAAAAAAAATACAATATCATAATTTCCGAATTTATTAAACCATAATTACTATACCCAAAGGAATAAAAAAAATTAGGTAATAAAATGACTCAACGTGGACATATCAAAAACGATAAGAACCATTAATATTATATTATATTTATTAACTCATTAGTCATTACACTTCTATATTATTATACATATTTTATACCTTCCTATGATATTATAATATTATCTTTATTATGTATTATGAATTATGATCGACGCTACATAAATCGACAGAAAATTATTAACAATAATAAACATTGTTACGCTAGACCCACAGGTCTGATACACATGGTCATGTCAACATTAGTTTATTATATTGACTTATAAGTTATAACCAATATATTTTTTCGATCCTATATGACTGTTGCTTATGTTTAGGTATGGTGCCTATTATACATATTATTTTATCATGTATTATAATTTATAATTGTTCAGTAGTGGTTAGTGGTACATATTAAGTACTTAAAATGATAATTATGAAAATACTACCATTGATTAAATATAGGTATATACACAATATATATATTTAATCAAGAATACTACAAACGCATAATCATGTCCATTAATTTAAAGACTCGAAAACATGTGATTGTATTTTTTTACTAAAAATCTACAGTTTCTCTATATCAGCAGTACCTGTATACATTACACCAGGTGTCGGAAACCCGTGACCTGCATATGGCTATCATATAGCGGCCAAATGTTAACTCCTACACGAATAATCGTTTTACCTGAATCACCATTAAATGTATGGGGCTATCGAGGAAAATGTTTAATTTCTATAAAAATAGACATTATATTGTAGAAAAAAACATGAACAAAGATAGTATTGATTGGGAACGGCTGACCGAAACGTTGTTTGTTTGTAGATTTTGTTTAATTAGACCTTGTTAAATTAATATACCAAACGGTTATGGACTTATTAAATAAACTAAATTTGATAATATTATGACGTTTTTGTACAAAATAAAATAAGGTATATTCAAATTGTGGCTAGTAAAAAAAGTATATTTATTTTTTGGCCTTTAACATCAAAAAGGTGGCCGACCCTTGTATTATACTATTACATGCCATTATATTATACTATTGTGGCGATTAATTCGTGAAAGCTCATATTATTATTTTATCGTTTAATGTGAGTTTAATATTTCAAAGTTTTAGAGTGTTTTAAAAAAAAAGATTCTACGCCATTAATGATATAGATTTAATATTTAATTGCCTATTGAAGGTTATTTTATTCTTAATTAGTTGTTCAGTTCTAAAGCAAAGTAACAGGTAAAACTGATGTATGTTAAGCATGTATATCTTAGTATCTATATTATCTAAACCGGATACTAATCACACACATGTGTATTTCAATATTCTTATGTTTTTTTCTACAAACCAATTTTTTAATTGAGAAGAACATATACCAACACAATCCAAAAACATTATTGATTAATAAGTACTAAATTCGTTAATAATTTAAAAAATATTTATGTTTTTTTTTTCAAAAATTAATTTGTAATTTCATTACAGTTTATAATGTTTATATGGCAAATTATAAAATTGTCAATCAATAAATATAATATTAAAGTAATTAGAGTAATACTTGACGGTCTGTTGTCTATAAGAGATATATATTTCTCAAGAAAAGACCGTCAGAATCTACTTGGTTACATATTCTTTTTAAAACTTCAGTCGTATAGTTATTTATCATTAAAAACAACTAGTTTTTTTTATATTTTTCACACAGACTACATCGATGGAATTTTATTGTAGTCTGTGTCTGTGTCTACGTACTTAAAGTGACTGGATTGCACATATATAGCATATAAGCTATACCTATTAGATCAAATAACATGCGTTATAATTGTTTAGGAAGTCATAACAAACAAATAATTATAACATATTATATACAGCTAGGGGATCAACATATTTCATTTTTACCGAATGGTTAAATGGATTCATCAGATTTGCTCTAAGTACTAGCTATTATTAAATTTCATACAAGATATAGATTTTCAGTTATTTTGAAACTCAAACTGTAGTTAAACCATCGAACATAGGTAAGGATAAAAAAGTCAAGCGCTCTTCAAGGGTAAGACCCGTTAAAAATATCATATTTGAGACGTCAGAGAATACATTTTTGCTGTATAATTATTTTGAAGGTTAACTCCAAACTTGTATCATATTTGAAAAAATGATCGTAAAAAAGTTTGAAAAGTTCGATTTTCTAAAAATTGCTAAATTTTTGTAATCTTGTACACTACAAATTAAATTATTTATTTTAGTTTTAGGCACTGCATATTGGTTGGAATAACTACGTCTAAAAAGATAAAGATCTAGAGGGTACCATCGCTGGATGATTTCCCACATCATGTGCCTCATGTATATTTTTATTATGTATATAGTGTTATGTCAGTTATCCTTTTTACTTATTGTGTCCTGTAATACAGATTGTATATTGATTTTCTAATGAATACAAAAAAAAAGATAAAGATAAACGCATTTACAACGAATACAAAAAATGCTATATATAGGTAACTTAGGGTTTTAACGAGCTCATATTATATTGTAACAGCAGAAAATGGTTTATCTTCTACTTAATTTATTACTGCGGTTCAGTGAGTATACAGAATTACAGACTTGAACAAGTTTAATGTCATCCTATACTGTCATATAATAGCCGAATACACATATAAAGCTAAACATAATGTACCTATTCTTTTCTGTATATTATAATAATATAAATATTGTACAATACCTGTTTGGCTAAACTCCAATATTGCGATTTGAGAGGGCGGTGTGAATTTGCGTTGTACAATGTCTTATCACACTCATAAATATATTTTTTTGGTCCTTCTTAGTAGTTTTACCGAGTCGTAGCTGATCTTGCTGTCATTTTATACGCGATTCATCGATTCTACCAATTACCAATATAGCATCGATTCCGACAGTATATAGATTCCGCCAGAACAGGTATAGTTTTAAAATCATATTATATCGATCTCGACACTTACCAGTTTTGATTTGTGACGATTCTGATTACTCCTTTATTTAACTTAACTAAAATATAAGTATTTACATTTGATTAAATGCCATATTTTTTTAGATATGTCGTAATAGAATAATACAATTGTTAAATTCTATACACAATTGTACAGGAAACTATAATGATAGAAACATAGAATATCAGACGAAATATTACATTTATGGAACTAGTTTCTCATATCTAGGTACATAAAAATTAGACATGGTTGTATAACCAAAACGTACAAGCATTATAGACCACAGTATAAAAATAGTAGATACACTAATTATCTACAAAATAATATATCAGGTAACACCAAAAAAAAAAAACATTAAAAACAAAATACTAATTAATAATAATCAATATAATACTATAAAAATATAAAATTATAAAAATGTATAAATAATAATGGATGTACCTAAGTACCTACATTTTTTAAAAATTATTTTTCAAAATTTTAAATACTTATCAGTTTAACTTTTAAGTGGTATACTTACACCATTAAAACGGTTTAATATTTTAATATATTATTAATAATACCTTTATTATCTAATGTCAAAGGTCAATGTATAATACGCCTATGTCGATTAAAAACGATTTATGAAATTAAGATTTCTAGTGAAGTTTATAGTTTCCCGGTTCCGTTAAACTTACAATTTCAAATTGCTGGAGTCATTAGGTTGTATTAAAACTAACTGTACACGAGCAATCAACGTACCTTTACGTTTTCCACTAATTAAGAAAGATTTGGCGGGATCGACGAAATACCTCGAGCACTTGTACCTCCGGAGCATGATTTCCCGTGGAGACAGGTTCTACGCAGCGGCATTGTAGTACTTAATTAAGTATACCTGGGTACCGAATTCGATACAAATATTACAAACACCTGCAGCAGACTTCACCGCGGCAGGTATCGGTTGAACGACCGGTGTCACTATATTTAATATAATAGTACCTAAACATAATATGTGTGCATACAGCATTATATAGATCTTCTGCAAAAATCTTGTATACATATATATTCACCATGATATTATGTATACCTGCCTACATAATTTATCATGTATAAAGTATATAGTGTATGTAAGTTGTGTACACCGAGCTATATAATATGTCGTATGGAGCTGGTACTTGTAATCATTTAATTCCATCTCATTCTTATTTTATTTTTTATTTTCTTCGTTTGACTG